CAGGACAAGCAGCGATGGTCAGAGATTCCCTAGACCTGTGGCCGCCAAACCATGGCTTGAGAGCCACCTGTGGCTCTTTGGCCCCTTGAGTGTGGCTCTTCCACAAAATACCACGGCCAGGGCAAGTCTATGTTGAAGAAGTGGCGTTAGAAGACATTTAAGTTTAAAAATGTGGCTCTCCAAAGAAATTTCCATCGTTGTGCTGTTGATAGATACTTGGCTCTGTTGACTAACGGGTTTGCCAACCACTGCCCTAGCCGGTTTGGCTCAGTGGATAAAGCGTTGGCTTGTGGAAGGGCCCCCTGGTTTGATTCTGGTCCAGGGCACATGCATACCAGGGTTGCAGGCTCTATCTCCAGTGAGGGGCATGCAGGAGGTAGCCGATCAGTGATTCTCTCATTATTAATGTCTCTATTTCTCTTTCCTTCTCCCATCCTCACTTGAAAGCAATTTATATAAAACTTTAACAGCAGAGGGAGAGGAGCGTTTCTTTGCAGGAGTCCAGTTGGGGGTCTGTTCCCAAGCATCATAATAAAAAATGGTGTTTCCTCAACGTTTGCCAGTTTTGGCTTCCCTGGAGCCCCCGTGCATTAGGTGGGTGGCATTCCAATCCCTCCCTCATTTTATTCCTGCCAGGGCTACACCGAGAGGCATCCCAGAGACACACAGTGCTGGGTCCAAGATAGACAATAACAAACGAGCCCTGTCCAGTCTGTCCAGTGGTTAGAGCACTGGGCTGAGCACGGAAGGGAGGCAGCCAGTTGATGTATGTCTCTTACATCAATGTTTCTATTTTTTAAAAAAAGATATTTTATTGATTTTATACAGAGAGGAAGGGAGAGAGATAGAAACATCGATGAGAGAGAATCATCGATCAGCTGCCTCTTGCACACCCCCTTCTGGGGATATGGCGGCAACCAAGGTACATGCCCTTGACCGGAATCGAACCCGGGACCCTTCAGTCCCCAAGCCGACGCTCTATCCATTGAGCCAAACTGGTCCCCGCAATGTTTCTCTCTTTCTCTTTCTCACCTCCCCCCCCTTCCTCCCACCCTTACATTGAGAAGCAATGGCAAAAAGAGACCCTCAGGTGAGGATTAACAAAACAAACAAAAAACAATAACACACAAATCACGTGTTGCCCCAAACCCCGAACATCTGCCTGGCAGCGGGGACTTCTCTAGGGTGTGTCTACGGACTGGGTCCTGCTTGGCCCCTCCCCCCCGGTGTGTGGTTCCCATTCTCCTGATGAGGAAATGGAGGCTCAGCGTGCGTAAGGCCCTGGTTGACTTCTCTGTGCTGGGGGGGTCCAGACAGAGATGTGAACCCACACTGCCAGCTCATCGCCGAGAGGTCACGGAGGGCTTTGAACTTGAGAAAGACAAGGGGGCTCCCTTTAGAGCCCGCAGAGAGAAGAGGACCCAGCATGGGCCTTCACAACATGGGAGGATTGAGGAGGGAGGGAATCAAGGAAAGAGGCGGGCCGGGGCTCTGGCCGCCAAGCCCGAGGCCGCGCTCCCAGGCCCGCTGACGTGTCCAGGTCTGCAGGCCCAGCCTCACGCTGCTGCCTGACTCACTGCTAAACGGTCCAGCATCGGCCCGGCAGCTGGAACCTCAGCAGCCCGGTGGGAGGCAGGTCCTGTCTGGGCCCCTGGTGGGGTCCTCCCCTGTGGAGGCTCCAGTTCACCTCCAGGCAGGGGGCCCTGAGCTCCAGGACAGGGTGCCGGCGAGGGAACCTCTGGTCCCCGAGGGGGAAGGGGCAGCCCTCTCCCCCAGGGCCTTCTGCTGCGTATGCGAAGGAGCCGCCATGACCGTGTGTGCCCCGAAGTTCCGGATAGAAAGGTGCTCCGTGTGGCTCTCGAAGACTTTCTGACATTGTTCAGTTCTTTCTTTTTCTTTAAAAAAAAGAACATATTTTATTGGTTTTTACAGAGAGGAAGGGAGAGGGATAGAGTTAAAACATCGTTGAGAGAGTGTCATTGATCAGCTGCCTCCTGCACGCCCCCCACCGGGAATGTGCCCGCAACCCAGGTACATGCCCTTGACCGGAATCGAATCTGGGACCTTTCAGTCCGCAGACCGATGCTCTATCCACTGAGCCACACCGGTTTCAGCCACTGTTCAGTTCTTAAGAGTGAGCGCCCAGGGCTCAAGGCGATTGTAGGCAGGAGCTCTGCATGAGGTGGGAACATGGAAATGAACGTTTTCTTACAACAAGAAGCGGGAGAGTGGTCAGGCAGGCCTGAGAGGGCCGGAGGGGTTAACGTTGGAAGCTGTGGGGTCCCGGAAGGCCGGCGCCCGCCCCAGTGAGGGCTGCCCGCGGAGGAGGGGGGTCCGGGAAGCTGAGCCGTTCCAGGTGCAGGGAAAGCGCGCGCACCCCGGAGTGACGAGGGGCCCAGACACCGGCTGTGAGGGACACACCGGAGGCTGCATCAGGCAGGTAGCTTCCTCCCCGGCTGCGCCCAGTCAGAGGTTTACAAGGGCCTTCCCCCTGCTGCTAAGCCAGGAGTGGAACCAGCCGTCTGAGCCTTTTGGGACGTGTGGCTGCACGTTCCCCAGCAGCTGCCATTTTGAGTTTATTTATTTAAAAAAAAAAAAATGTTTTAATCGGCCATTTCGGCTGCAGGGCTTGCCTCAGAGTTCTGACTTATAGAACTTTCTAGAAAACCCGTGGCTGTCAGAGCAGGACATGGGAACGCCCTGGAGGTACCCATGGGAATGAAGGTGGTGAAAGGGAGAGTGGGGAGAGGGGGGCTGTGCCTCGATGAGTGGCCGACGCCCAGGTGCAGGCCCCTTTAACTGGAGGCCCTGTGACCTGTGGGTGTGGCCCTTCACTTGTGCTCTTAGCCCCTGTGCCAGAAAGGGATTTCCATGGATCTGCTTATTCACCACTTATTTATCCTGCTCCCGGGGAGGGTTTGAGGAAGACCCTATTAATATGGCCTCTGGCCTGGTCTCCGTGAGTCTGCGGGAGGCAGTGAGTTCTGTCCCCCATGGAGAGCGAGGCTGGGAGGCGGTGCCTCCGAGAAAGCGGCACTGTCTGTCTAGCGGAGTGGCATGCAGAAAGGGGGTGCTGTGAGGCCTCGCACCCCACATGCTCCCTGGGGCCTTGGGAAGGTTCCCCCCCCACCCTCCCACCGCTTCCCGGGTGGGCAGATTCTCCTGGGACCCCAGAGTGTGGGCCTGAGGCAGCCAGCCGTCTCCTCACCACCACACGCGCAGACACGACAGGGGAGACGGGAGTGAGATGATCCCGCAGGACGGCACACCCGCCAAGCTGGCCTCGCTGGCCGGGGGTGGGGTTCTGGCCCCGCCGGCTGTGTGGCTGGCAGAATGGACCCCCTGCGCCCCGGCCAGCCTGCGGTTCGGTGACATCGCATGCCCTCCGTGGCTCGGGAGGCTCTGGCCCTCCACCGGGGGGTCATCAAGCCTAACCCGCCGGCGTGGAATTCACGGCATCGGGTCTGAGCCCCTTGGTTTTGACTGCTGAGGGTGCAGGCCCCAGAAATATAATTCCCGGGAGGAAAACAGAAGCTGAATCTCTGTACAGGATTTCAGAAGGCCTTCCATGGACCAGGGCAAGCGGCGAGGGAAGAGGGGGCTGGCTTCTTCCCTGGGCACCCCCGCTGTACCTCCCATCAATAACACGGGTTATGGTCACCAGCGTGGTTCCCGTGTTTCCTCAGCGTGAGGGTGTCCCAGGTACGGGGGAGGCGGGGAGAACAAAAGGGGTTCTTCCAGGTCGCGGCTGTGATGTCCTGCTCCCCGTTCCCCCCGGCCAGCGGGCGGATCTGGTGACGGAGGCAGGGCCTGCCCGTGCTGACCGTGTGTGGGGGCAGCAGCACAGGCGGCGGCCTCACCTGCAGGGGGAGGGGGGCGGCCACTGGACGGGCTCTGGACGGAACACTCAGCTCCGTGCCTGCCCCTGTGACGCCATCCGTGTCTGTGACAGTCTGTGCCCAATGCTGCCCTTCTCCCCTGGAGCCCGTGTGTAGCGAACCCTCAGCTTGTCGCCATTGGTCCCGGCTGCTGAGGTGGGCCTGACGTTCTTCCATTCGGTTAACCTTCTGGCAAAAGACTTCATGGAGGCCAATGGCCCCCTCCCCCTCCCGGGGGGTCTGTGGAAGCCGACCCCACGCAGTGGTTATGGTCAGAGTGTGTGTGAAGCCACGGAGGGGCAGGATCATAACACGCGAATTCCTTCTGCGCCTGCATGTCCACACTGACATTTGATCATGCTTTCTGCGCCGATGCTGATATATGAAACCCTAGAATTTCCTGGAGTTAAAATCCTAAACAATGCAGCCATTTCTCCTAAAAAAAAAAAAAAAAAAAAAAAAAAAAAAAAAAAAAAGGTCTTTGCAAGGTGATTCCATCTGGCTTGCCTTCTTAGAACTTCCTTAGAGCAAATATTGCCTCATCAGTGGTTCTCAAAGGGGGGGGGGGGACAGTTCAGTTTTGCCCCCCCCCCTCCACAGGGGACAGTTGGCGATGCCCGGGGAAATGTTTTATCTCAGTGACCGGGGGAGGGGGTGGGGTGGGCAGCGGGTGTGGAGGCCAGGGATGCTGCTGAACATCCCACAGTGCCTAGAGCAGCCCCCACGACAATGACTGGCGTCTCAGTGTCCGTCAGGCCTTGGCTGACACCCCCACCCCCTCGGGAGGGTTGCCAGCATGGGCAGGGCACCTTGATGCAGTCCCACCTTGACATCATCCCCGTTGTTGGAGTCGGGCATGCTCGCCCACATCTCACCTGGCTTCTGAGCGGACGCGAATAAGGATGCCTCCTCTTTAGGGGCACAGACGGAGGCTGATGGAATTGCATTGGCCGAGGTCCCGTGGCTGGTCCGGGCTCCGCCGGGCAGCCTGCCCACACAGCGGAACTGAGCCCCCAGCCGGCCGGGGAGCGCCTCCGGGGGGGGGGGGGGGGTCAGCGGCCCCGCGGTAGCATCTCACGCTCTCCTCCTTCTCTGCCTCTCTGTCCGTGTGTCTCCTTGCAGGTAAGGACGAGCCCTCCAGCTACATTTGCACAACATGCAAGCAGCCCTTCACCAGCGCGTGGTTCCTGCTGCAGCACGCGCAGAACACGCACGGCTTCCGCATCTACCTGGAGCCCGGGCCGGCCAGCAGCTCGCTCACGCCGCGCCTCACCATCCCGCCGCCGCTGGGGCCCGAGGCCGTGGCGCAGTCGCCGCTCATGAACTTCCTGGGCGACAGCAGCCCCTTCAGCCTGCTGCGCATGGCGGGCCCGCTGCTGCGGGACCACCCGGGCTTCGGCCACGAGGGCCGCCTGCCCGGCACGCCGCCGCTCTTCAGCCCGCCGCCGCCGCCGCGCCACCCGCTGGACCCGCACCGCCTCGGCGCCGCCGCCGAGGAGATGGGGCTGGTGGCCCAGCACCCCAGTGCCTTCGACCGAGTCATGCGCCTCAACCCCATGGCCATCGACTCGCCCGCCATGGACTTCTCGCGGCGGCTCCGCGAGCTGGCGGGCAACAGCTCCACGCCGCCGCCGCCGCCGCCGCCGCCCGTGTCCCCCGGCCGCGGGAACCCCATGCACCGGCTCCTGAACCCCTTCCAGCCCGGCCCCAAGTCCCCGTTCCTGAGCACCCCGCCGCTGCCGCCCATGCCCCCCGGGGCCGGCACGCCGCCGCCGCTACCGCCGCCGCACGCCAAGAGCAAGTCGTGCGAGTTCTGCGGCAAGACCTTCAAGTTCCAGAGCAACCTGATCGTGCACCGGCGCAGCCACACGGGCGAGAAGCCCTACAAGTGCCAGCTGTGCGACCACGCGTGCTCGCAGGCCAGCAAGCTCAAGCGCCACATGAAGACGCACCTGCACAAGGCGGGCTCGCTGGCCGGCGGCCGCTCCGACGACGGGCTGTCGGCCGCCAGCTCCCCGGAGCCCGGCACCAGCGAGCTGGCGGGCGGCGGCGGCGAGGGCCTCCAGGCGGGCGGCGTTGGCGGCGGCGGCGACTTCCGCCACCACCACCACGGCAGCGACCCGTCGTCGTCGCTGGGCCACGACCCCGAGGAGGAGGAGGAGGAGGAGGAAGAGGAGGAGGAGGAGGAGCTGCTGCTGGAGAACGAGAGCCGGCCCGAGTCGAGCTTCAGCATGGACTCGGAGCTGAGCCGCAGCCACCGGGAGAACGGCGGCGGCGGCGGCGGCGGCGGGCTGGTGGCCGGGGTGCCCGGCGGCCTGGGCGGCCTGGGCGGCGCGGCCAAGGCGCTGGCCGACGAGAAGGCGCTGGTGCTGGGCAAGGTCATGGAGAACGCGGGCCTGGGCGCGCTGCCGCCGCCCTACGGCGACCTGCTGGCCGACAAGCCCAAGCGCGGCGGCGGCGGCTTCCTGAAGCGCGCGGCGGCGGCGGGCGACCCGGGCGACGAGGACGACGACGACGCGGGCGGCTGCGGGGACGCGGGGGGCCCCGGGGGCGCGGTGAACGGGCGCGGCGTGGGCGTGGGCGGCGGCTTCGTGCCGGGCGGCGGCGCCGAGCCCTTCCCGGGCCTGTTCCCGCGCAAGCCGCCGCCGCTGCCGCTGCCCAGCCCGGGGCTGCACGGCGCGGCGGCCAAGCGCATCAAGGTGGAGAAGGACCTGGAGCTGCCGCCCGCCGCGCTCATCCCCTCCGAGAACGTGTACTCGCAGTGGCTCGTGGGCTACGCGGCGTCGCGCCACTTCATGAAGGACCCCTTCCTGGGCTTCACGGACGCGCGCCAGTCGCCCTTCGCCACGTCGTCCGAGCACTCGTCCGAGAACGGCAGCCTGCGCTTCTCCACGCCGCCCGGCGACCTGCTGGACGGCGGGCTGTCCGGGCGCAGCGGCACGGCCAGCGGCGGCAGCACGCCGCACCTGGGCGGGCCCGGGCCCGGCCGGCCGAGCTCCAAGGAGGGCCGGCGCAGCGACACGTGCGAGTACTGCGGCAAGGTGTTCAAGAACTGCAGCAACCTCACGGTGCACCGGCGCAGCCACACCGGCGAGCGGCCTTACAAGTGCGAGCTGTGCAACTACGCGTGCGCGCAGAGCAGCAAGCTCACGCGCCACATGAAGACGCACGGGCAGATCGGCAAGGAGGTGTACCGCTGCGACATCTGCCAGATGCCCTTCAGCGTCTACAGCACCCTGGAGAAACACATGAAGAAGTGGCACGGCGAGCACCTGCTGACCAACGACGTCAAGATCGAGCAGGCCGAGAGGAGCTAAGCGCGCTTGTGTGCGCATGCGTGCGTGCGTGCGTGCGTGCGTCAGTGCGCACGCGCGTGCGTGAGTGCGTGCGTGCGCGTGCGCAGGCCGGGAGTGGGGAGGGCGTCCCTCCCCCCTCCCCGCACCTTGTACAGTGGAACCAGTGGAACCGTTGCCAAGCGACAGAATGCTGACCTGACACTTGCCTCCGTGTCACCGCCACCGAGCACCCCCGCGTGTCCCTGGGGGGGGGGGGGGTCCCTGCCCCCGCCCCCCCGGGGAGGCGGCTCTCCAACCTAAACCTGTGTCTGCGAAGTCCTAGGAACCCCGAGGGTGGTGAAGGCAGTCAAACTTGTGGAGCCTTTTTAACTGTGCAATAATTTCTGTATTTATTGGGTTTTGTAATTTTTTTTTTTTTTTTGCATGTGCAGGTACTTTTTTTTATTATGATTCTTCCTGTTTGAGTTCCTTTTTAAAAAGATTTTGTTGGATATCCATCCCTTCTTCATTGAAATTTTTTTTTTATTTTTTTCTTTAAAAAACCCAGTAGAAGCCTGAGCAATGACTCGCAAGCAATGTAAAGGGGAAAGCCTAGCTTTTTAAATTATAATTTGGGAGGGAGGGCGCTGCTTTTTTTGTGTGGAAATTTTAAGCTAAGCATGTGTAATTTCTTGTGAAGAAGCCAACACTTAAATGACTTTTAAAGTTGTTTACTTTTTTTTTTTACATCAACCTCCCCCCCCCCCTTTTTTTTGGTCCTGAAATAAAAAGTGGCATGCATTTTTTTTTGTTTTTTGGGGGGGCGGGGGGGTGGGGAGTGGATGTACAGCGGATAACAATCTTAAAGTTGTAGCACTTTGTTTCCGATTTGGAGTGGAGATGTCGCACTGATGATGTCCTGAGAAACGGGGGCCTTTTCTGTGTTGATTTCAACCTTCCCATTCATAACAGGGGTGGACGTGGCGTGGTGGGGGATAGGGTCCCCCAAACTCTGCACACTGCCAGAGAAACAGGAGCTTTTGAGGGCTACCCCCGGGGAATGGCCCCGGAGGATTCTAAAACTGTGCATTCCCAGCAGACGCCTTCAGATGGAGGTGTACCCTGGGATGCCGTCTTAGCCATTTGCCATAGAACAGGCTAACACGGGCTGAGGGTACCTTTTTGGGGTCGGTAGTGGTGGGCTGCAGGGACACAGAAAGGAAGAAACCAGTCAGGTTCTCCCAGGCTTCTTCTGGCTTGCCAGCTTCTCTCTCTCTTTCTCTCTCTCTCTTTCTCTCCCTTGTTCTCACTCCACACGAAAATCCCAGGTCCCATGACAGTGAGGATGGACCATTTCTCAAGCAGACAAGTGCCCTGATGGTGGCGAGAGGGACGCCAGCGTCCTCATTTCCTGCACACGTGACATTCCAAGGACCGGGGTTGGGGGTGGGGTGGGTGGGATCTTTTCGAATTTCTGTTCCCTTCACAGGGAAAGCAGGGGAAGAGGTCGGTCCGAAGGTGCCCAGCACCGCTTCCCTTTTTGTCACTCCTGTTGGGTTGGAAGGTACTAAGCCCGTGAGATTAGATGTTTGAATTCTGTTGACCCTGCACTTTAAAGCTTTTGTTTGCATTTAAATGAAATGGCTTCTAAACAAGAAATTGCAGCATATTTCTTCTCTTTGGCCCAGAGGTGGGTTGCATAAGGGACGATTGAGATTGAGTGTCAGTGTTGCTAAGCGTGGCATTCACAATACTGGCACTATAAAGAACGAGACAGAATAATAACTTATTGGACAGTTTCTCTTACTGCCATTCGATGCGATGTGAGTGCCTTGAAAACCGATCTTCCTATTTCAGTCTCTTGAGACAAATGCAAAACTTTTTTTTTTTTTTTGAAACGAAAAGACTTTTTAAAAAACGTAAAACGAGAAAAGTACATTCTTTAGACACAAACAAAGCCACATTTTACTTTTAAGTCTAATTAAAAAAAAAAAAAAAATCCCGGTGGAAGCTAGAGGACGTGAAAATGCCATCGGGCCCGATCAGATGAAGACATAAACCCAGCACAACCTCGGACTTACAATTGTTAGCTGACCGGGTCCTCAGCCCCTTTTTGTTTGTGGGACGACGCTGCTTAGATCTGGAGAGGAGGTGATTTACTGCTGAATTAAAACTCACGTGACAAGTTGGTATCGTTGAATGAAAAACCAACAACAACGACGACAACAAAAAACACAATTCAGGAACAATGGCTGATTTTTTTCCTAAAGGTAAATTTAGTGCACTCTGTCTTAAAAATACGTTTACAGTATTGGATACATACAAGGGTAACAAAAATCGTGTGTATGTGTGTCAGAGAGGTCCTATTCCCCCGCCCCCCTTCCCCCCAAAGTTTTGCTTCATAGGTTATAAAAGATGCCACCGTGGCTGCGTGTATATTGTTTTCTCTCGGTGATGGGGTTTTAGTATATATGATATATATTAAAATTTCTTGATTCCTGTAAAAGTGGACCAGTATTTGTAATAATCGAGAATGCCTGGGCATTTTACAAAACAAGAAAAAAAAAAAAACACCTTTTTTTTGCTTTTCCTTGAAAACGTTGTGGTAACATTTAAATGGTGGGTCTATAAATTTGTTCTTGTCACAGTAACTGTAAAGTCGGAGTTTTAGTAAATTTTTTTTCTGCCTTGGGTGTTCAATTTTTATTTAAAAAAAAATGTATAGAAACTTGTATTTGGGGATTAAAAGGGGATTGCTACACCATGTAGAAAAAGTATGTAGAAAAAAAAGTGCTTAATATTGTTATTGCTTTGCAGAAGAAAAAAAAAATCATTTCTGACCTGTACTTATTTTTCTCTTCCCACCTCCCTCTGGAATGGATATATTGGTCGGTTCATATGATGTAGGCACTTGCTGTATTTTTACTGGAGCTTGTAATTTTTTAACTGTAAGCTTGTCCTTTTAAAGGGATTTAATGTACCTTTTTGTTAGTGAATTTGGAAATAAAAAAGAAAAAAAACAAAAACAGGCTGCCATAATATATTTTTTTAATTTGGCAGGATAAAATATTGCAAAAAAAAAAAATTTGTATGTTCAGTCCTATTGTACAGGAGAAAAAGGGTTGTGAGACAACCCCGGAGGGAAGGAAGCAAACGGAAGCCTTGGGATGCTTTGGTCCCCAGTCGTTGGGGCTGTGCGTGGTTTTGACGGAACCGGCCCCCCGCAGAGAAGGGCTGGAGCCAGGCTTCCCTTGGAGCGCCGGGCCCTCGCACCCAGGCCCCTCGGAGCGGCCCCAGTAGACCCGGGGGAGATCCGTGATCCCTGTTGAATGGAGAAACCAGCTTTTGAAAAACAGTTCCCAGCGTCCTTCCTTTCTCTAAGAGGCCATCTGTAGGGGTCAGTGTAGAGAGAGCGAGTGAGCATCTTCTGTCTGCAGTCAGCGCCACCAAGTCTCCCACCCCGAGGAGCAGAAAGAAATGCAAACTGACCTCACTCTAGTCCTTGACAAAACCTTACGCAGAAAGCGTCTGGAGAGGAGGTGGCGTGCAGGTGACTTGACCTGCAGCAGAGACCAGCGCCAAGGGAGCCCCCAGGCAGCCCCTCTTGCATTCCACAGAGGGTCTTGGCCAGCTGTTCTGACCTGCCCCGCTGCTGCTTTTCTGTCCGAAAGCTACATTCCGTCCGTTTCCGAACGCCTAGGGCCTGGGCTGGATCGGTGCCTTCCCCTATCTCTCCCTCCCCCATCTTCTCCATCCTCCACCTCGGTTGGTCCTTTATTTGTTTTCATTTCCATTTAATTTGCTTTTCTTTCTCCCTCTCTGTCCTTTCCCTCCTCTCTCTCTCTCTCTCTCTCTCTCTCTCTCTCTCTCGTTGTAAAGCCAAGTAGCTTTAAGATGATAAAGTGGTAGTTTTTCGGATGAGGGGATAATACATTAAAAAAATACATGTATCAGGAAGCCATTTTTTTTTATTTCAGGAACTGTAAGAAACCATTATTTCAGGTTATGAAAGTATAAGCATCCGTCGGGGGCAATTCTTTACCAAATGCAGAGACTTTTCTTCCGGGAGCTTTTCTGCTTAAAATTCCCTCTCCTCCTTGCTACTGACCTTTGCCACAGGGAAGTGAGGGGAAGGGGATGGGAAGTCAAGGTGAGGGGCCAGCTTTCTACCTGTTTGACCCTGAGCCCCTTCTCCTCGCCCCCGTGGGCTGCCCCGTGAGCCCCCGGGGTGACCCTCCTGTAGTGAGAAACGTAGCCAGCTCTTCCCAGCTCAGTCCCCGTCACCAGGAGCCAGGACCAAGCCATCTTAAAGCACAAAGATTGTGTCTCCGTCCACAGACGGCAGAAAGAAAAAAAAAGAGAGAGAGCATTTTGCTTCTTCCAAGTATCAAAAGTCTACACTGCAGCAGAGGATTGGGCAGGAGAGGGCCCCACCGAGGCGGCCCAGCCTACAGCAGGCTGGTTCCTACACTGCCAGGGCGGGTTCCGCGCTGCCCCCACAGGAACCTGCCACTTGCCATGAGAGGGTCTGTCGTGGGGAGAGGGGGAGGCTGAGGCGTGAAGAGAGGAGAGGGCGAGAAGGAAAGGAAGTCAGCCTTCCTTCCCGGCTCAGGGCGGCTGGGCGACCGACGTGGTGTCGAACCCAGAACCCAGGCGACCTCGTGATTTTGGTGCTCTTTGTACTCCCCCTTTGTCCCCACAAAGCCAAGTCCCATCGAGTTCAGTTTGCATTTGTATTGGCGAGGCGAACTGTTTTTATGACCTTTTTCTATTGTTGTATGAGCTTCTGTTGTTTACTTGGAGGTTCTGTCTTTTGCTACGAGTTTGAACTATTTATTATTGCTTGGTATTGGTGCCCTGTTTGAGAAACGGGCACTTTTTTTTTTTTTTAAATATGGAGAAAATGTTGAGATGGCAGGAGGTCATTTCAATATGGCTTAGTGAACTATTTATTGTTCCTTTTATTCTCTGTACAAGATTTTGGGCCTCTTCCCTCTCCCCCCCGTTAATGTCACGATGTTGAGTTCAGCATGTGTCTGCCA